TTAAAAAAGAAAGAAAGAAAGAAAAGGGAGTTGCATGGTCCATTTGTTTATGGTATCCTTTCTTCATGGGAAGCCATTCATTTAAAAGATACTTATTAAAACAATCCCTAACTTCAAGGGGCTTACATTCCACTTGGGGAGAGGAAGAAGAGCATATATAGATGCAATATGAAATATACACAAAGTCATTTCAGGGGATGAGGAGAGGCAATGCAGAGGGGTACGATATCAGTTCTACTGCCCTTGTGTGAAGGTTGGGTATATGTTGATAGGAGAGATGAGAGAGGGTATCTGTTTGCTTTAGGTCAAGAATGCCACAAACTTTTTTCTTCATTGTCTCCTGCCTTAGTGGAGCATGGGGGTGGGGCGGGGAGAAGCATCTTTGCTTCTCTAATGCTAGCTGGGGCTTGGGAATCAGGAGATGCCCAGATAGCTTTCTTTCACTGGCCACAAATGGAGCTGTAGATACAAGTGTGATCAGGGTGGGAATGGAACAAGAGGTAATCCTAGTCTCAGAGATAAATTATACTTTGACCCACAGTTACCGTATCTTTTCAGCTGAAATGATTTCTTCTGGTTGTTAAATGCCCACAGAAAAGTCAAATATTACTGCCTGTGAGAAATGGCCTTTTCCATAGAGTCCATTTGTCACTTGTGATCTCCAAGTCGGAGTCTTGCCTTTCTATAATCTATAAAATCCTTCCGAACTGGACTAAACTGATGCTTCTCCTTGCTGTGCTCCTTACAGTGGCTCCCTACAGTTTGCAAAGGAGACACCCCAAGGCTTTAAGAAGGTAAGCAACCTGTTCGTGGTTACATGATTCAATCAATAGCAGAACTGGGATAAAAGATAGATGTATGCTGCTCAGAATTCAAGGTTTTTCCATCAACTACATGTTCTCACTTCCAACCCATTTCCCCTTCATAAAAGGAGACTAAGATGGTTCTCAAAGTGTGATCTGGGGAAATCTGGAAGTCTCTGAGATGCTTTTAGGGGGTCCATAAGCTCAAAAACATTTTTATAATAATACTAAGACATTTAAATTTCTAACATGGCAAATGTCAATAGATATAAACCACATAAACAAAAGCTCTTTGGAGAGAGAGCTCCTCAATAATATTTTTTTTTTTGCTTAGGCAATCAGGGTTAAATGACTTGCCCAGGGTCACACAGCTAGTAAGTGTCAAGTGTCTTAAGGCGAGATTTAAACTCAGGTCCTCCTGACTCTAAGGCCAGAGCTCTATCCTCTGTGCCATCTAGCTGCCCTGGTCCTCAACAAATTTTAAAGGGGCTCTGAGACCAGAACCTCTGGTTAGAAGAAACGTTGGGCACAGAGACCAGAACCTACTATTCAAGTCTGAGCTCTGACATTTACTTGCTGAATGACCTCAGACAAGTCATTTCTATTCTATGAGTTGATGTCAAATGGTGTGGGGGGTGTCTAAAAGACTCGCTATATGCTTGGGTAAGTCACTTCTCCCCAGGTAAATTGAAAATAAAGGAGTAGGACCAGAAGATTTCCAAGTCTCTTCCATCTCTAGTATGCGGTTCATGTTCTTTCCTGGTGCTACCCCTAGCCTCATGTCTTGCTCACTCTCTAGCCATGAGTCTGCTCCCTATATCTCCCTCACTCCAAGAGTTTGTTTCTGACATCGTAAGGTTACTCTCCCAAAGAAGCAGAAGCACCCACTTCTTTCTCATCCCTAGCTTATCCCTAATTCACCTCTTCCAAGTAGCCTTCTCTAACAGCTTCATCCCCAACCTTTACCTGTCATTCCTTTCCCCTCAGTTTACACTTCATTATCATGTCTTTATAACCTGGTTTGGTAACTCTATAATTAATTGTTTCCAGTTCTGGTTTTCTGTGCTCCAAATAGATTATAAACTCCCAGAGGGTAGGGACATCGTCTCTTTGACATTCTCCTTCCCTCACACCCTTAAATCTAGTTAAGTGCCTCCTATATGGCATTGTGCTAAGTGTTTTGCAAATATTATCTCATTTGAATGAGAAAGGAGATACATGGTCCATTCCCTTTATGGTATCCTCTCTTCTGAAATAAACCACACACCCACCCCCTCCATAAATAAATAAATAACAAACCTTGTAATACAGTTTTTTTTTAAACTATCTGAGACAGTGAGACAAGTGCTGAATTTGGAGTTCTGTCTCTAAGCCCAGAACACTGGGCACACAGTAAGTTATGTGCTCAAGAAATACTTTCTGCAGCCCTCACTGGTCTGCCTGGGGACTTTGCCTGGTTTGGTAAAGCCTTTTCTTTTCCTCTTTGCTTTCCTGGTTCTTTACTCTTGTTGTCAGTAGGTTAGAATCCTGGGTCAACCACTATTTATGACCTGGGTTTCAGTTTCCATTTATGGGAAGTGAGGGAGTTGGACTAGGTCATTTCTTAGGTTCCTACCTGCCCTAAATCCTATGATCCTTTAATTATTAGGAGCTGGAGTAATGGTAGGGAGAGGGTGTGTGTGTGTGTGTGTGTGTGTGTGTGTGTGTGTGTGTGTGTGTGTGTGTGTGTGTAAAGTTTATATTAGAATAGTTTCAAACAAAAGTTGAGCATAGAAATTAAATCCTCTCATTTGCTTACTCAGTTACTCTTCCCCCCATTCATTTTCTATTGATCTATTGAGTTTTTTTTCTTTTTACCATACTCCCTCTCCTATCCCTCCTCTTCCCCACTTCCTTGATTATAAGATTTAGAGCTGAAAGGCCCCTTAGTGGTCATCTGGTCCAACATCCTCATTTTACTGATGAAGAAACTGAGGTCCGGGGAGAGACAGTGACCGGTTCCCTTCTCTCTACTCACATAATTTCCACAATAGTTCAGCCTTTCATCGCCTCTCCCTCTCCTATTTCAGTGTTCTCCTCCTTAGCCTCTCTGCCTCAAGTCTTTCCTCTCTCCCATCCATCTTTCACAGCACTGATGCTAAAATGATCTTCCCCTTTGCACAGGTCTCTGTGTCACTTCCACACTGAAAGTTCAGCCTATCCCTTTTGACTGTTTCCACTTCCAGGGTCAGATATAAAATCTGGCACTTAAAGCCCTTTGCAGCCTGGCTCTATCTAGACTCATTACATATTCCTACCCTTCAGGAATTCTGTTCTCCTGCCAGAATGGCCTTTTTGTTATTCCTTACTCACAGCTTTCTACCTTCTTTCTACCTGGGGTTTACTCCCTCTTCCCCTCTGACTCTTTTCCAAACCCCAACTCAAGTGTCACCTTGAGGTTTTTTTTCCCCTGACCCTTCCTAGCTTCTAGTGCAGGTTCCCCACTCCTGTTCTAGTGCCTCCCTGTCCCCAATCTATGTATTTGGTATATAATGATGTCAGATACACATGTATACATGTATGTAAATGTACATGTTGCCTCCCCCTCTCTCCACCCCCACCCCCAGTACTGTAAGCTCCCCTAGGTCAGGAACTGTATCACTTTTGTCCTTGTTCAAGTGCAGTATTCAGCCCATAGTAGATGCTAAATAAATAAATAAATATGTTTTTTAATTGATTACCAAAGATCGAACAGGTGTTGCAACCAGTCTGGAGCCCAGGTTTTTCTTCCTGATCCAAATATAGCACTTTTCTCACTGTCTCAGTTAAAAGCAAGCTGTATTTCAAGGGCTTTGAGGGTGAGGTGGGGTGGGGAGTGTGATTTATTTCGGTCAAATTCGCTATTATTTTTTAAACATTCTGTTGCCCACAGCTTGAATTAAACTACTAGTTTTCAAAGATGATTTGACTCACGTATCCCTTTGTGTATGTAGAGACACAAAAGACGAGAAAAAGATTCTATAACAATTTGAAAAGTAAAAAAAACAAAAAATCGAATGGGTCATTTGGTATCGTGTAATCACTCATTAATCACTCTTTAAAAAAAAATTCAGCATTTTCAAACTTCGACGTTACAGAACAAAAAGCGCTCCCCCCCAAAAAAACCCCCAAACCCCAACAACAACCTAGAAATCAGTTAAAGTGATTTATCTGTGTGTGCATTGAAGACCACTACAAGTCTCCCAGAAAAGGGAAAAAAAAAAGATGCCCAGAATTCACTCTTTTACAGGGTGTCGGACTCCATTCTGGACAGTAAAAATATGCTATCCTACTTTATTGAAGACTGATTCCTGGTTTGGGATGAGTGAGTGGTGTGTCTTGCCACTGAACTTCTGCAGGCAAAAATTGATGGGTTATTGGTGACTTTCTTAAACTCTAGGAGCTGGAATATCTTCGCTAGACGCTAGACACAAGACCGAGCGGCTTCTGGCCCCCAGTTCCAGGAAAATAAATGGGCTCCCACTCCCGGACCCGGCTCAAGCACGGCCCCGCCAGGAGGCTAGCCAGAGAAGAGGACCGAGCATCTGACATCTCATCTCCTCTGGGGAATATTGTTCTATTGATCAAAGGGCTCGGAGGAGCGAGAGAGATTTATCTCCATAGACATGCAGATTTCTGCAAAGGGAAAAGGAGCCACTGGGCGGCCTAAAAGGGAGGAAGGAGGAGGCGGAATCTAAGGAAGGTGTTTAAGGAAAAAAACAGGCGAGAACCTTACCTCCAAAGCGCTGAACTACTGAAGCCCAACCAAGACAGAATAGTGGGCGGGTGCAGGGGCAAGCAGAGGAGGGGGGAATGGGGACTCAATACCCGATCTTGGAATCACCCTGGCTCTCTGAAGCTTGAGGAAGGGATTCTCAGGCACTGCGGATTCCGGGAAGCGTTCTCCCAGCCCCAACCTGAGTCCTCCCCACCCATTTCCCCGGAAAATCATCCGCTCCTTCGGAAGAGTTTGGCTTCCCCTAAGAGCATTAAAGCAGTCTCCATCTCTGGTCGTTCCCAAACCATCCCTGGCCCCTGGCCCCCAGCTGGAGCGGGTCAATCCTGCGCCCCCGCTCCCCTACGCACACAGCTTCCCCTCTTCCCCGCTACCGCTGGGGCTGTTGGTGGGGAAGAGGTTGGAGCAAGTGGAGGGGTCCCTTTACCCGCCCATTTTCTTACCTGGATGACCAAGAGGTGAGGGCGGCGTCCCATCCTTGGGGTTCTCTGGCCCGGGACACCTGGCTTACTGGCACATCCCCAGAAGGGCACGGCCAAGCTTGGGTTAGGGAGCTTCTTTGCTAGCGATCTGCGGGGGAAAGCCGGAGGTAGCGCGGCTGGTAGAGAAGTGAGGCAGCTCTAGTCTCCGAGAGTGGGAGCCCAGAGGGATGGGGGAGGGAGAGCGGGGTAAGGAGCGGGAGGGGACCGCGGCACTGGCACCGGGCGAGCAGGGGATCGCAGGGGAGGGGAGAGAGCGGAGCGCCAGGTGCTCCTTTACAAGGCGGCACTGCCCGCCCCGCTCCTCAGCTCTGTCCCCGGAGGGCAGCCCGCAGCCCAGTCACATCTGCTGCCAACAACCGGCTCCTTCTCCCGTCCGCCCCCAGCTTCCCTCCCCGTTCTCTTCGGCAGCGCCACCTCTCTTCTTCCTAAGCCGGGTCCCCGCGCCCGCTTCCCTCCCAGTTCTTAAGGGAGGGCACTGGTCTAGCCTGCGCCTGGCAGTCAGGAGCCCCGCATCGCCCCCGCCACCTCTCTCCTCCTCCTCTTTTTCCTCCTCCTCCTCCTCCCTGTCCTTTCTTGTCTCTTTCCCTCTCCTCCCCACCTCCTCCTTCCCCCTTACCTCCCTCCTCCTTCCTCTGCCCCCTTTCCTCCACCCTCCTCTCCTCTCTTCTAGCGCTCCCCCCTCCCCCCTCCAGCCCGGCTAATCACTGACCCCTTTTCCCTGCCCCCCTTCTCAGTTTGCAGCAGTCAGTTGAGCGCGGCTCCTGCGCCGCCAGCTTCAGGGACCGCAGTCCGGGAAGAACCTAGAGATTGGGACTGGGGCGAGAGTGGGGGGAGGGGAGAGGAGACTAAGAACCCCTCTTCCACTCGCTTCTTGGAAAGGCTGCGGAAGATAGAGACTTGCGGGACATAGGGGGAGAGATCGGGCAAGACATACTTCTGGGACACAGAGTGGGTCTGATTGGAAGAACAGAGGCGGGAGGGGTGAGGTGGTCTGTGGAGGGTGCCCCTCCACCACCTCTTCCTGAGAACCGTGCTGGAGAGGGACGGAAGGCTAGCAGTAGTTTTGGAAGCTCAGGATTGCGTTTGGGTGTTTCCCGACCCATCCCCCACAGCCCCTCCTCCGATCCAGCCCTGCTATCTCTCCTTTCTTTGCTACTTGCGAAGGGGGTCCGCAACTCTAGGCCTGAGTGGTAGGGTATGGGCACTCCCTGCTCTTTCTAGCACCTACTCTTCACTCCTCCGTAGCCCTTCTATGTTTCAGAGACTATTACCTCATTTACAGAATAACCCCCCACCCCCTCCACCCAGACCCCAGCAGGAGGCTGTGCCGTTTCCCTTTGGCCAGTGGGGAGAGAAAGATATCAACAACGTTGGAATCCAGGCTCCTTAGCCCTTGTCACCCATCTTTCCTGCCCAGCGCCAGAATGACCGTCTGTGTCCCCAGCCCCCAGATCACTAGATATAGCTTTGGTATACAAAACAGAACTTTGAGCTCACTTCCTGGGACTAGAGATTTGGTTCCTGGAAGCATCTTCAATTCTATTCAGCAAAAATTCGTTGTCTACCGTAGTGTAAATGCTGGGGAGAAGTACAAAGATAAATAAGATGGGGTCCCTACCCTTAGGAAGCTTACCATTTTGTAGGGGAGGTGACATGGACAGGGACAACCATTTTACAAGGCAAAATAGGATGCTCCAGGAAAGAGGTGCAGTGCTAAGGGAGTAAAAAAAAAAAAAAAAGGAGAGATCACTTTTGGTTGGAGCAAGCAGGGAGGGAATCAGAGAAAGCTCCTTGGAGGAGGTGTCATTTTGGCTGGGCCTTGAAGGATAAGTCTGAACAAGACAGGAAAAGATGGGGGTAAGGGTGGGGAAGCAGTAGGGAGGAGGAAAAGGGAGAGTCATCCAGAATCAGCATGTACAAAAGGAATATTACAATATGAATAAAGCTTCTACCTTTGCTATCCTGAGTTTTCCTCTACCACTTCTTTCAAAACTCAACTCAGGGGACATCAAATGCACTGTAGGATTTAGTCCTTGTGTCAATATTGCTTAACTGCTCCTTGTTACAAGGGAGGATTCACATGGATCGAAGATGGTCTATATCTGAAAAAAAAAAAAGATGTGAAAAGCATCAGTAAGCCTTTTTTAAAAATCAATTTTTAATAAAAATATAATCCCAAATCACTTCAGAAATCAACCAATCAGTCAAAGGTGTTTATTATGTGCTAAATGCTGGTGGTATAAATTAAAAGAGTGAAACAGTCAAAGAGCTTACATGCTAGCTAAGGAGACAAGAGAGCAGCAAGGTGCCATAGTGCACAAGAGCACTAGGCCTGGAGTCAGGAAGACTCATCTTCCTGAGTTCAAATCTGACCTCAGACACTTACTAGCTGTGTGACCCTGGGCAAGTCACTTCACCTTGTTTGCCTCAGTTTCCTCATCTGTAAACTGAGCTGAAGAAAGAAATGGCAAACTGCTCCAGTATCTTTGCCAAGAAAACCTCAAATTCGTTCATGAAGAGTTGGACACACACAACACACACACACACACACACACACACACACACACACACACACACGTATAGACAGAATAAATACCAAACAGTTAAATACAAGGATGTATGGGAGAGAGTGCAGTAGTAGTGGTGGTGGTAGTGGATTAAGAAAGACATCATCTTGAAGAAAGAGAGACTGCGTGAGGTAGAGGTGAGGAGGGAGAACTCCCAGCCTACAAAGGCAAAAAGAAGGGAGGTAAAGTTCTGTGGTTGAGAAGTGTTGACAAAGCCATTTTGGTTAGATCAAAGAAACTGTGGAAAGCAGTCTAGTCCAGTGAGGCTGGAAAGAGAAGCTTGTGTCAGATTGTAAAGGACTTTAAAAGCTAAATAGTTTCTATGTGATCCTAGAAACAACAGGGACCCATTGGAACTTCTTCAGTAGAGGGATGACGCAGTTAGATCTTTGGGAAGATCTGATGAAGTGAAGGGAAGGGAAGGGAAGGAAGGGAAGGGAAGAGAAGACAAAGCAAAGGAAGGGAAGGGAAGGGAAAGAAAGTAAATAAGCATTTATATAGCACCTACTATGTGCCAGGCTCTGTGCTAAGTGCTTTTTACAAATATTTACAATATTACAACTTTGCAAATATTTACAGTATTTACAAATATTTCAAATAACATGTCTAAATATTATCTCATTTGAGCTTCACAAAAACCTTGCAGTGTAAGTGCTATTGTTATTATCTTTATGTTACAGTTGAGGAAACAGAAGCAAGCATAAGTGATTTGCCCAGGGTCACATGGCTAGTGAGTGTCTAAAACTGGATTTGAATTTTGGCTGGATCTGGGGCTGGAAGAGAAAGACTTAAAGCAAGGCGACCAGTTAGAAGTTACAATAATCTGCTTGAAAGACGCTAAGGACTTGATGGCTATGTGAGAGAAGGGTTTGGATGTGAGAGATTTGTGTAGTTAGAAATGGCAAGACTTGGCAACTTTGTATATGTAGGATGAAAAAAGAGTAAGGAGTCGAGGATGATGCCCAGGTTACAAACCTTTGACAGAATTAGGGAAGTCAGGAGGAATGGTGGAGTTCCGGGAAAGATTCCGGGAGTTCTGTTTTGGCTTTGCTAAGCTGGAGCTGCCTTTGATGACATCCAGTTGGAAATGTCCAACTGATGAAACAAGACAGATGCTCATGGGAATGATTGGGGCTGGATATGGGGATCTGTAAGTCATCAATAAAGTGGTTACTAAGAGAGAGGATACAGAAAGAGAAGACTGGGATAGACCCTTGAGGAACATCCACATTTAGAGGGTACGATATGATGATGAACCATCAAAGGAGATTGAGGATAGTCAGACTAGTAGAAGGAGGATGAGAAGTGAGGAGCATCATAAAAACCCAGACAGGAGATAGTAACCAGGAAGAGAAGATACAAATAATGTTAAATTCAGCAGCTGGCTTAAAAAAGATGAGGACTAATTGGAAGTTGAGAGGATGCCCATCAATTGGGGAATGGCTGAACAAGCTGTGGTATATGAATGTAATGGGGATACTATTGTGCTATAAGAAATGATGAACAGGCTGACTTCAGAAAAACCTGGAAAGACTTATGTGGTCTGAAGCTGAGTGAAGTGAGCAGAACCAAGAGGACTTTGTACACAGTAACAGCCACGTTATGCGATGACTAATATTGTTAAACTGAACCCTTCTCAGCATTACAAGGATCTGAGACATCTCCAGAGGCCTCGTGATGGAAAATGCTGTCCACATCCAAAGAAAGAACTATGGAAGTCGAATCGCTATCACTTATTTTTACCTTCTGTTAAGTTTTGTTTCATCTTTCTGATGGTTCCTCCTATTGGTTTTAATTTTTACTTACAACTTCACTAATGTGCAAATATGTTTAATAGGAATGTAAATATAAAGCCTATGTCAGATTGTGCGCTGTCTTGGGGAGGGTGGGGGGGAGGAAGGGGGAGAAAAATTTTCAACTCAAAAGTGTATGGAAGTGATTGTTGATAAATCAAAATGAATTAATAAAATTTTTTAAAAAAGACCAGTAAGAGTCGGTAACTTTGGAGGGAGCAATTTCAGTGGAGTGATGAGGTTGAGGTGATTGAGGAGAGAGTAAGGGGAGGCAATGAATGGAGACAACTTTATCTAGGATTTTTGCTGAGAAATGGAGGAGATATATGGACGATAGCTTGAGGGACTGGGTAAGGTCTAATAAAGGATTCTTTTAAGGATTGGGAGGTTTGACGGTGTTTGAAGGGAGTAGCGAAGGAACCAGTAGATTGGTAGAGGTAAAAGAGGAAAGACTTGGGTAATGATTGAGGTTGCAATATTCAGGAGAAGATGAGAAATGACGGAATCAAGTCAGGGGAGTCTAGGAACCAGTTCTTACTGGTGTCTAGGAGCCAATTATTAAAATTATTTACACCAAAGAAATTGTTGCATGTTGCCTTGATTTATTGTTTTGTTGATTTCTAGACTTAAGAAAGTGATGGAGAAAATTTTAATAATGCGGATTAAACTTAAAAGTGTGTCTTGGAAAGCCAGTTGCTAAACATTTACCAGCACACTCTTGGATCAAGGACAAGGAGAAGGGCCACTTTGTTATCAGAGATTGGGAAAGAAGAAAGACTGGGAGATGACATCAAGGGGTTTTGAGATGAAGAGAAGAGGAGAAGAGGGTGCCTAGGTCAAATGGCCTCAATTTCCTCCTTTTTTGTGAGGCAATTGGGGTTAAGTGACTTGCCCTGGGTCACACAGTGTCAAGTGTCTCTCAATTTTCTTAGGAAAGTAAGAGGCAGGGGCAGCTAGGTGGCCCGATGAATAGAGCACCACCCACAGAGTAAGGAAGACCTGAGTTCAAATCCAGTCTTAGACACTTATTAGCTGTGTGACCATGGGCAAGTCACTTAACTCTGATTACCTTAAAAAAA